CAGACACTAGTCCAACTGCTCGGCATGGCAGCACGGTACGCACTTTGGCGACACATTTAACCGCACAAATCCCCAGCCTGTGACCTGCGCATTTATTACAGCAAGGACGAAAGGAGGGAGGAAGATCTCAAATCTCTTATTATCTCCCATACAGTCTATCAATGAGCTACACCAAAATGAAGACAGCTACAACCACTTCTACCGCTATACCCAACGGAAAAGGGTGAAAATCCACTGACCCTTCAAGTCCATAATGGAACGTATCAAAGAGAGCAAGATCGTTAAGTAAGGCTAAGTACCAAGTTCGGTTCTCAAAGTAATGCAACCTTGCAACTAAGTCATCGCCATACCTCCGCAAAAATAGCATCCAGAAAGACCGAAGGGGGCCGCATATGAAAGCGCTTTGTGATCAGACGCGAGAGAGTCTGAGCGTCGCAGCGAGATTCCAGGACAAGATCTTCAGTGCTCGTGACACCGAAAACGAAAAAAATAGGGACACCCCGACGCGTCTTCACTCGTGTCGAAGTAATCAGCACAAATCTTCTTAAAACATTGGCGGGTACATTCTCTACGGACGGGATCACTACTACCAAAGGGCCAGTGCGAGATTTAGAGTCTAAAAGAAGGAACCAAAACCATGCCTTCAATTTAATACTTTCTCCGAGGCGAACGGAAGTGTCCGAGACTAGCAATCCTCTTATGAAGAAAAGGCAGCGCCTGCATCAATGCACCCAACTTCATCACTAACTAATTATTGTTCATCAAATACTCCCAAAGCTTAAACAAGTGCCCAACTGGGGAAGGTTGTTCGAAGAAATAAGAAATCGTGCAGTTCGCTCACCCGGTAGCTTAACAAAGCAATTGCTTGGTCTGACCTGTCGAAGGCTCTTACGTGCTTTAGTCTTCAGTTTGTTCTTCCTTTTGGTTTTACCAGCCGACGAAGTCAATGATAGGCCTGAAAGGTAAATATGTGACGCAAGACTACTCAAAAGTTGTTAGTAAACAAGTGACACAACTACCTTTGAATTTTTCGTCCAATCTCACGTCCTTTGTTTGATGCTAAAAAAGATGAACGATTGAGGCATTTTTGGGATGGTCGAGAGAAAAAAGATAGATGCAGTCACTCATATCACTAGGGCGGTAACTCAAAGAAGTCATCTCACCCCACAGACAGTGTTATGGGAACTCACCGATGAAGTGTTCAGAAGAGAAAAATTGCATTGCTTATGTATTGCGGAAAAAATGTGGTCTGAAGTAAGAGGTGTTGCGCTACAGTCAATAATGGCCACACGACTGCATTTCTGAAGAAGATGAGCCTTCAGACTATTAAAGAATGGCATAGCATCTGATATATTGCCAGCGTTAAGCAACAATACAGTGTGAATTTGACCGCGGGGAGTTCTTGATTCACCACTCTTGATCTTTAAGTAGACTTTATGTATGTAGCGATCAATTTTCGCGCATACTTCGCTGGAGACGTTTAGCAGGCGTGACTAAACCGACTAATATGGCAAAATTGTAAGCACGTACATTCACTCTGGAAAGAAATGCCTTCCAATCACGCTCGAAAGCCGTCTGCCTAGCCTGAGCCTCACCTACAATGCCGCCGCCAGGAAAAAAATGGGTGTCCTAAACAAAACACCAGTGTAAGCAGTCACAATGTTCGTCGAAAGATTCAAGAAAACTGCTACACAGTGCACACCGAAAACAATAGAAAGGACAAAACAATATGCAGGCGGATGGATTTAAAGCGAACAGACAGAAATAGGTAGAACTAACAGAGGACATCACCACCAAGGACAAAATTGAGCCTCAATCAGGATAAAGCTACCGCCTTTGAAAGTACTAATAGTTAACCGTTGACTTGAACAAATCCAAACTAAAACGTGTTTTAGCACCAGAGACATAATTATGGTGCTCCAAAAGTCGTTAGAGCATTTAAAACCCAGAATCGTTGGTGTGTTTGAATGTGAAGTATCTGAACAAGTTGTAGATGGAAAAAATAAAATCATCTATATTGGCACAATGAGTTATATTTATAGGTTAGCCCTGATGCATGCGATGGCAAATCAGATTATTAGATTGGTCATTTCAACAATTAAAGCAAAGTCAAGTGTGTGTGTGTGTTTAAAAGGCATTCAGAAATGAATCATTTATTGGTATAAGTTAATCGCCAAATTTAAGCAGTGGAAATCTGCAATTAAATTTGGATGTGGTTGCTACATACTCTACCTCGTTTACTTCGTCTAACAATTCCACATGATCATCGGTTCGTGAAAATAAATTTTAATGTGAGTATGTCTTATTGCAACTTTTATTTTTTAAATGAGTCCCGTTTTGCAAGCAAAACATCAGAACCATTCCATAAGATGTAACTCGCGTCCGAAGCACAGTAAAATACTTAGGGCAAGGTCAGTGCTCGGTGTGCTTTGAGGTTTGTTTGGGCTACTGTTCGGAATTGGCGTTTTCATGGAGGCGTAAGGTATCAAAATTGTGGAGCATTTTGAAGGATTGTGTCTTTTGTCGCGTACTCCCTTCCAGCTGGCTCCATGTGCCACCTAAATGACGCTCCTATGTCATCGCCTTGGGTGCATTTTTGTCTCACTTCATAGTTTGTCTAATGATGTTTATTGAACCTTACTAAGATACGACATTGTTTTTTTGGTGATTTTGCTTGCTGCCAAAGTAGACGACGTTGCTGCCTACTGAAGAATAACTAAAATGACATTTGATTATGTGGCTACTCCTTTCTCCATCGTATATCAACAGTTTAATCGGTGGTTTTGTTAAAAGAGCTACTAGAGGCTTGCGGCGTGTGTCATCAATTGATAGCGTAAACGAGAGTATGCTTCGTTCCAGTGGCACTGTTGCATCTTGCTGACTCTACCCTAATTGAGTTGCCAGAAACTCACTGACTTTGCTTTTCTCACTAGGCCATGTGAATCTTCATATATATATACACCGTAGACAATTTCCGTATGGACTTTCTGAGCTGTTTCAGTTTGTTGTCGCGAGCAATCCATCTGTCAAACAAAGGTGGAAATACTTCAAAAATGTGGCAATCATTTCGGTTCTTATGCTAAGGGTTTTATGTGTGATAAAAGTGACGAACTTCCTCTTTTTAAAAGAGTCAATAGTAGGTAGCTGCAGAAGTCGTGTTATATTTTATGATTGTGTGCTCCTTAGATGCTCATTGTTATTTTATGAGTTTTTTCCCAGTTGATGCACACAAAGTCAATGGGGATGGAGTCGACTTTGAAGGAACATAAGAGAGGGTAGTAGAAGAGATAATGGGGAGGTGGGAAATAAACTCATATGTAGGGGCACGATGCTATCAAGCAAACGGATCAAGGTGGAAAAGCAGCTTTGGTTATCTACTGGATTGTCTCGTGCTTCAGGATGCCCCTTGCTAACTGTGGTCGTG